GATAACTTAAGTATAAACATAAGGATTGAAATGGGGGATAAATCTTGTCAATTCCAGTCCCTATACTAAGAAGGATCAGATTGGCCAGAGGTGAAACTTACGACCTCGTCCTATAGGCAAGCCAACCCGTTTAAGAGTGTGCATGATTTAATAATTTTCAAATTGACTTTTAAAAAGAAGATTTTTATAAAACTTTAAAATACAAGCACGCTTATTAAAATGATCTTAATTTTAGCCTTTACATACAATTAAAATACTTAGCATTCTCAGCCGTGTGTTATATTTTTTATATCATGTAGGTGGAGCATTTCAAAATTTAATTCAATTTAAGTTCACACAGCATTCTGAGACCACTTGATAGAGCATTCAATATGATGGTTGGACCAGATGCAAGCATTTAAGCCTAATAGTTTAATTTTTAAATATGTGCATGATTATTAAAATAATATTTCTGTGATAATATTTACCAGAAAATAGCTTCAAGAATATACATGCCATGAAATATCGAAAAATAGATTTCATTGTGACCATCATTTGCTTTCAAATAAAGGTTTTTACTAAACATTTTTGGACGCATTCATGACACATGAGCTTTATTATTCTGAAAGTCAGTGTGGAATTGAGTTTAAGTTTATGAAGCTAGCTACCAAGTTCATTGCATGTTTCATCCAAACTTGTTGCCGAGACATTGAGCCTGCTATAAAACGTATACAAGTTCTATTTATGTTTGACTATGTCCTCATTTAATTTAATGATGCTCATGATAACTTAAGTATAAATTTTATCTTTAATTTGTACCTTGGAAGCTTTTCTTAATTACATTTTAACCTAAAGAGTTCAATTTAATTGTTCAAAATAAATGACAATTAGATGAAATTTTGGCAGCATTTTGAAAGTCTCTTGACGTCATCCTTGTCATGCTACAAAAAATGTGTATGGGTAGTGCAACACTATAGCTTGATCTTCGTCACTAACCATCCTACAAAAAGCATATATAAGTTACCTGCATAAAAAAATTTCACATGTTTTCTCCATTGCGCTTTTAAAATCGAGTACATGTACTTAATTTTGAATTGCCCGTTACATCATGAGCATCACATACAAGTTTCACCCTACCACACTTTGAAAAACATGTATCAAATTTAAGGAATTTTTTAATTGTTCGCCACATCCTTAGCATCTCGTATGAGTTTTGCACATAATGGTACGAAAATATGCATTGGATTACGGTCGATGCGTCAAACATGAGGTAATAGAGAATTTAGAAATTTTTGAATGAGTTTTGTCCTCTAAGTGTTTATGAAGTAGTGCTCGATGTGTCAGCAAAAAGCCATTAAAAAAGAGGCATCAGGTATATGTTGAAGTTCATTAATGATTTCTCAAGAGAATTTTGGGCGTTCTTCTTAAAGCAGAAGAATGATGTTATTGATTTATTTATGGAATGGAAGAACATGATCGAGAAAGAAACTAGAAAGAAGATAAAATGACTTCAATCATAGAATGGGTTGAAGTTATATTCAAAGAATTTAAAACCTTCTACAAATCAGAAAGAATGATGAAAAACTTCACAATCCAACTTACGCGCCAACAAAGTGGTGTGGTAAAGTGAATGAACAATGTATAATGTAGAATGATCATTGCATACTCTCCAATGCCAAGCTAGCTAAGATATTTTAGGCTGGAGCTATTTCTACAACTTGTTGCTTGGTGAATATCTCTCCTACCATTGCTATGGATAAGAAAACCCCATAAGAGATTTGGTCAGTTAAACCTATAGATTACTCTAATTTATGAACTTTTTTGTTATCATGCATATGCTCATATTAAGAATAATAAACTAGAGCTTAAATTTATAAAGTGTAAATTTATTATTTATAAAATTTGAGTTATGGTTTATAAGTTATGGTGCCAATAAACCAAGAAAGTGATCATTAGTAGAGATTTTATATCTGATGAGTCTAACATACTAGATATAACATCTACTATGTAATTTAAAGATATTATTTAGAAGGAAATGACTTATGTCTTGCAGAAAATTGGAGATTCAGAGATATAGGTGCATAACTTTTGAGTCAAATTCATATAATTATGATAATGTTGCTTTCCCACCACTATGACGATAACCATCGTCATATTTAATTGTCAAGAATAGAATAAGAGAAATTAAGTAGTTTAGAGGTATGGTGAGGCTAAATTGGTTTCTTATGCCCTAATAATAGCTGAAGGTATTGAGTGTGGTGAAGAACCTTCTAGCTATATATAAGCTATGAATTCAATTGATTATAATAAATGGATGATCGCTATGCAAGAGGAAATTGACTCCCTACATAAAATATAACTTAGGATTTGGTAAATTTACCTCAACGCAAGAAAGTTATTCGCTACAAATGGCTATTTAAGAAGAAAGAAGGTACACGAGGAGTTAAAGATGCCTTTTATATGCCTAGGCTTGTTGCAAAGGGATTTAATTAAATTTTAAGTGTAAATTTTACATATATATTCTCTCTAGTAGTCAAACATAGCTCAATTCAAGCTTTACTTAGTATTGTGACTAAGAATAATCTTAAGCTTGAGTAGTTAGATGTAAAGACTACATTTTTGCATGAAGAGCTTGAAGAGAGGTCACAAAAGAAGAAACCATCTCTTAGGTAGTGGTATAAAAAATTTGACTCATTCATGAATGCTAATTAGTTTGAGAGTATTTATGGTAGCTATGTTTACTCCAAAATTAATAATAATAGATTATTTATCTACTTGCTCTTATATATCGATGATATGTTGATAGTTGTTAAGGAAAAATAATATATTAACATGTTAAAAGCTCAACTTAACAGTGAGTTTGAGTTGAAAGATTTTGAAGTAGTAAAGAAAATAATTGGCATGGAGATTCATAGATATAAAAATATTGGTAAATTATTTATAAGTAAGAAAGAGTACATTGAGAAAGTTTTTTTATAGATTTAATACGCAGAATATCAAACCTAATAGGACTTCATTAGCTGCGTATTTCAAACTTTCATCTATTTTGTGTTCACAATATGATGATGAGATTTAATATATACCTCGAGTTTTATATTCTAATGCAGCGTGATATCTTACATATGCTATGATATGTTTTCATCCAGATTTAACATATGCAGTCAGTGCAGTTAGTAAATATATGAGCACATCAGGTAAATAATATTGGAAAGCAGTTCAATAGATCTTCAAGTATCTATCTGAAAGAAATGAAGCATATCTATAGTTTGGGAGGATTACAGTTAGAGTCATTCTCTATGCTGATATAGATTTTGATGGAGAAATTGATAAAAGGAGATCACTTAATTATGGGATACGTATTTACCATTGGTGGTTGTGTGATTCACTGGAAGGCTACTTTACAGACAACAATGACACTATCTACAACTCAAGTAGGGTACATGGAAATTACTAAAGCTTAAAAGAAGCACTTTGATTAAAAGGTCTATTTGAAGAGCTTAGTGAAATTTGAATGCACGACGACACATGAAGTGTGATAGTCAAAGTGCTATTCATCTCAGCAAAAATCAAATGTTTCATGAGGGAACTAATCACGTTGATATGCATTACGGGTTCATTCGTAAAGTTATTGATATTCATGATATTATTGTGAGAAAATCAGCATCCATAATAACTCTACGGATATGATGAGTATTGTGACACTCCTAATAATCAAGTTTGAGCATTGCTTAGACTTTGTTAGTATTCATTCTTGTTCATTAGAGCTTTGTGGAAGAGGTTGAGAACGTTTTATTCTACAAACTTTGGAAATTCTTGTCATGGTGTAGATTGCTAAATTTATCTTGAATTTGTGGGTCTCACTTATCATCTCTCATAAAGAAATTATAACCGCGTGAATTGAAGCTTTAGAAGAAAACTGTGAGCATACGAATTGAGGCTTTGGAAAGAAATTGTGAGCACACGGATTGAAGTTTTCAGCCATTAGGTGGAAATTATAAAAATATTTAGATTTTAATCAATGCGTTATTGCTTTATTGGCTCTCTTTTAGTTATTTCCTTTAAAAGCCTTGCTAAAATCTTATAAACCTCTCTTCTATTTTGTGTAAAAGAGACTCTTCATTTGTTACCTCTTCTTTGATATAGTGAATTATACTCCTCTATCCGTGATTTTTCCTATCTTAGATTTTGCACGTAAAATTTTTGCGTTCTTTATTTTATTTTATTTTATTATTTGTTGCACCGATTCGATTTCAAATTATAATAAATATTAATCTCAAATCACAACTAACCAAATAATTGACCCCGTGGACCGCTTATCATTTAAAAACCAAGAAGAAGTCTAAGCTCAAGCACTTAAATGAACCTCTATGTTCTTCCTATCGCTGCATATGTTGCACACTTCAAAACTTGTTAGCAATACTAATTGGACTTTTTCAATTAATTTTTTTTGTTTATCGCGCCTAGAAACAAAAAATAAAATTACTTCCTTTATTCAACATTTTCCCAATCCTCTCCGTTCTTCTCTTCAACATAACGTTCTTGAAGGTTATCTCATGCAACTCGAAGAACTTTTACCCTACCCAATAACCTCCTCAAAGCAAAAAAATTCATGAAATCAATTCCTCAGTTCATGAAAATTCTAATTTCTCCACGGTCAGATTCTTTCAGTAAACAATAAAAATCCTTCCTTTTTCAAAGAAGCCTTTCTTACCCTCAAGGTCTTCTCAAAGACCCCAGATTGAGATCCCCATAGACCACGACTAATTCCCATACATCTCTCTCCAATACATTTTCACCACCTCACACAATTCTTTCTTCATAACGTGTCAAAAGTTTCCCTAACCCTTTGAACAAAACATAATCAAATCACCCACCATCTATTTAACTCCCTCATTAATTCTCCAAACACAAACCTTAAAACCAAAAGATCCATTTTTCGCTTAATTAAAGCTCCCGCCTTTTCTCCTACAATGAACTCTCCCTTCCACAACAAACCGCCCTCGCCACCTCACGGCGTAGCCATGGACGAAGCTCTCACTCAAGTCCTTCAAGCCTGCAGGCTTACCCGTGAGCTCGAGTCTGCTCTCCCGCACATCGCCAACAACCCCAGCGCCTTGCTTGCCTTCTGCGAGCAGGTCTCCTTCGCCTTCAACAAAGCCGTATTGGATCTCCGAGCTTCTTCTTCCTTTGATCCCTCGGGCCACATATTCATTAGCGAGACACCTCAGAGGTTAATGGAGGATTGGAGCCTTTCTCCTTTTGCGCTCCCAATGCCGACAAATCAGGCGGATTTATCGCATTTAGGATTGGAAATTCAGGCAACCGCGGCGCTTAGTTTCACCGGCGGCGAACAAGAGCATGCAGTGGCGCAGCGAAGATTGGGAGCTCCGTCAACGGGTCAACGATCATCCAGAATAAGGTTGACTAGTCAAACTTCTTCTTTTTCTTATTTATTTAACGGAAATATTGGCAGAAATTGGAACCTTTTAAAAGTTAGTTATAGAGCTAACGCAGCATGGTGTTAATGATCAGGAAGGATAGTGAGGAGACACGGACGGTCACGATTCCCGCGGTTCGTACGGGAAATTTGGAGCTTCCACCAGATGATGGGTACACGTGGCGCAAGTATGGCCAGAAAGTGATCCTTGGGGCAAGGTTTCCTAGGTAAACGGTTTACTGTATTTTAACTGCTGCTGCTCCTTCCATGAAGTTTGGAACCAATTTTACAAGGATTTAATTTTTTTTAAAATTGAGTCTTATTTGCCAAAGTATTAATTTTGGGAGGAAATCGATCTAAAAATAAAAAAGAATTCATGACATTCTACGCTCTAAAGCATATATATTGAAACAATTGCATTGAAGATATTGCAATTTTGAGAATACTTCAAAGCTAATTATTCCCACGTTTGCATTCATTTCTTCCCATCATCTTCATCACCATTTTCATCTTTAATACCACCCATAAGCTATGTAATCAAGTGTAGAATAAAATATAAGAACTTCTATTTATGTTGATCTTGTTCAACTAAATTTGCATTTAATCCTAAAAAGCTAATTTAAATTACCCAAATGATTATAGATAAATTTTCTATCTTTTAATCTGAATATTCAAAGGACCAAAATGTAGTCCTCAGCTTATTGTGATCTTAAATAGAGTTTTCGTCTACTAATCCTCATTATAATGGTTCTTGAATGTGCATTTCCTAATATAAATCATAAAATGATTTTAAAATTGTTCTTCTTTGCCTCTAAATCGTTTTTTCACTTTAGAGCATGTGGATACAAACAATGTAGCCGGCTTAATTACACTATTATAGAACTATCATAAGATTTCATAAAACTTGTCATCATACAAGACACTAAGCCATTTCTTAATTTTGATTATACACTTTTAAACCTAAATGTTATAACCTTAATCTCCAAAATCTATGCCAGAATTTCCCTTAAAGTTTATTGCATTTAATTTGAAAGAAAATTAAGTGCAATAAATTTACTTTGAAATTTTATCTTGATGTTAATGTAATTAAGAAATTGTATTTACTAAAGAAAAATAAATAAAAATGTTTTTTATATTCTATTATCCTATATTAATAAAATATAGGAAGAAAAAACTATTGGAACATTGACATGTTTTTTTTCCGTGTTAGAGAAGAAATGAACAGAAATAAAAATGAAAATAATATAAGAATTGAATAAAAATTCGGTTTTTCCATTATTGGATTTATTAGAATTGTATGAAAATGTTTGTTTTAACTAAGTAAACAAAAAAATTAAGTCTTTGTCACTTATAAGAAAAATATATTGTAAGTTAAAATAATCATTTAAAAAAAAAATCATATATTCATCATATTCCCTTCAATTATATTTTAATTACATTAACATAAAATCCTTCATATGAAACCTTACATTCATAACCTAAAAGGCTAAAACAACAAACGAATAGTGCAATCACATACATCATCTTCCTTGCAGGAGCTACTTCCGCTGCACCCACAAGAACTTCTACGGCTGCAAGGCAAAGAGAAAAGTTCAGAAACTGGACGCTGATCCCAACATCTATGAGATAATCTACTGCGGAGAACACACTTGCCAAACCTCACCCACACCTCTGATTCTCCCCTCCATCACGCCCACGAGCAACGAGACCACGCTTGCCAACATGCCCGTAATGATTGGCGCTTCATCATCACCATCCGTCGGCAGCTGGTTTCTCAGCTCGCATGAGGTAGGGGAGAGCAGCAGAGCTCATGTTGGTCCGCAGGTGCAGCAGCAGCCGATCAGGACAGGAAGGGAAGGAGAAGGGTCTGTTGCTGATCTTGCTGACGCTATGTTTAATTCGGGAAGTAGCAGTAACAACAGCATGGACACAATTTTTACTTTTAAGACGGATGGATGAAGAGAGATTGTAGTTTTGGTGGATGGCCTTGTGCATGGCTATCCTGTTTATTAGATACTAATTTGGATTAATATATATATATATATATATACTCAATTGATTTGATTTTATTTAAGATATATATGTTTAGGTTAGATTATCATATGATTCATCATTTGTATGCAGGCTGAGCCTTTAGGGATTCTAATGGGTTTGGAAAAGTTTGTAATTTTTGGTTGAAATAATAAGTTTTTTGAAATAGCAAAGCAGTTTGAAACTGGATTAGTTGGAAGAATTGGTCATGTCATTAGCTCCGGCTTACCTGCTTGTGAATGAACTACTTAAAGAAGAAGAGAATGATAAAAAGATGAAAAAAGAGCAGCGAGAAATTCTAAGATTACATTAAAGTAGACTCAGGTATACGAAATTGCGTTCTCCTCTCCCCTCCCTAGAGCGAAGATTTATTCTGTCGAGTGAATGCGGGTGAACAAGGGCTGGGATGAGCCAAAAAAAAAAAAAAAAAAAAAAAAAAAATTTAAAAAAAAATTAGAAATATTATATGAAAATTATGACTCATTATCACATTTTAGTAGTCAAATTCATGTTTTTATCCATAGTTAAAGTGGTATGTGTGTAAAATGAAACTTTGGGTGAGATAGGTAAATACTATATATGTAATTTTCCAAAAAAAGAAAAACAAAAGAAAAGGCTCATCCCAGCCCTCCTCCCCACCTGCATTCATCGGATGCAATGATTTTCCTCTACTGCTCCTCTATAAGCCAGTATGTATGAGTTTGTAGCCAGAATTTGAGTGTTATTTCGAAAGATATTGTTATATCCCAACATGTACTGTGGATCACACCCAAGAAATAACACGTTGAATGGATGAGAGGAATCGGTAGAGAGATAGAGGAAGCAAAATGTATAATATGACAAGTTCTGAGAGGTTGAATTCGGTAGTTTATTCTTGAAGAAATGACCCCTTATTTACAGTTCACAGGGTATCTTGTAAAGTAATATGATTAGCCTTATTTTAATAGGTATGTTATAGGTTATTATTACACATTTTCATATTTGTAACTGAGTTTGAAACTCTTTATTGTCCATAACTAATGTTGACACTGTTTCTTATTCATAACTGCTTAAAAAATGGGCATTCAATGGCCAACTGGTGTTGTCATTTGATTGTTTGACAATCATTCGGTCAGCTGATAAGTCTTCGGTCGGTTCCTCGTAAGAATTCTCGATATAGGCCTACTTACTGTTAAGGTGAACTTTGACCATCAGAAGAAGTTGTATCACTGTAATTTGACGGGGCAGCTCTCTTTAAACAATGGGCTTTCTCATCAGAGGATTGGAAGGATATTGGGATGCCCTTTTCCAATCTCTCTGTGAAGAATCCTGGAATCATTCGATGGAGCTAGCTGTTGTTGATTGTCCCTTAGATTAGGTGCCTCCTGTTTCTTCCTTCTACTGAGCTTTCATTCGGATTGCCCTTAGTTTCAACCTAAGGGACCAAAGTTTGGCATCTCCATCTTTTGACTATCCTGATGCAGTCTTCTAAGACCCATCAACTTTTTTTTTTTAATTCGTACGGTCATATTTTTAAATACATATTTAGTTCTTTGATTCTCTTACTCTTAAAAGCTATTACTGGGAGAACAATAAGAAAATTAAATGCAAAAATCGACCAATTTTTATGTAATAGATATTTATAGTAATTTAACTCCCTAAAATTGTGCCTGCATTCCTTATAAATAGAGTGTGGTAAGCAATTTTCATCACCATTTCTAAATTTGCAGCCATTATGTTAGTTTTCAACATAATAGAGTGACGGTGATTGATAAGAAACTTATGAATGATCAGCCCATGTTAAAGGCCTTCGGACATTGACCAATAAACTATGTCATCCCACAAAAGAGAAGATGAAGAAACTTGAGAGTAGTCGATCATTGATAAAGAAGAAGCCCGTGGATGACGGTCGACCAGTGGGAAAGACATTAGAGGGAAAAAGAAGGCAAATTGAATCAAATAGGCATGGAGAAGGAACTCGACCAAATGAAACAAAGCTGTTTAAGCACGTATTACAGAAGAAATAATGAGTGAAGGATATGTTCAAGTTTTCTGACTCGTTGAGACTCAATGAGATATGTAACAGGTCTGACATGAACATCTTTGGTGCAATAGTCCTTCTTCAATATATGATCCATCAAAGATTGACTTAACAACTAATATAGATATTTATTGAGACTCAGATCCAATTAGCCTGTTGTTCAACCTCTTGTTGAAGAGAGCCTCTGCTCATATGAGATGGAGTGAATGATTAGTGTAAGGAATTCTATTTTTTGTAGACTTGGTTGGTTTATTTCTTTCTTTATTTATGATATGTGATTATTCTTGCATAGAACATTGTGATCAACATCTCAATAATGGGAGTTGGTCAACCCTCTGCATTATTTTTCTTCTTTTTCTCTTATTTATTTTTTGAAGGAATCACCAATTTGTCTATCATCATATGATTTTCTTTTTAGAGTAAATCTCTCTTCTGGATCTTAATGATGATAAGGAGATAGGAGGAATCAGAAAGTGAAGACAGATGACAATCAAGAAAAACAAGCGAAAGAACCTAGAGAACTTTCTTAAGGTAATCTTTGCATTCCAGCCTAAAAGCATACATCTGAAATGAGATCAGATCAAAGATACTCAATAAAAGCAACTCACAATCAAAGATTCAAGTGAATATGCTTGTTCTAAGGTCATGAAAAACTCCCAAGAGAATGTATCCCCTTTGCTAATTGCATCGTGGAGAGCGCCCTAGAATACTCTCAAGTAGAGGAGTCCTATTTACATTTAGGTTGATGATCAGTATAGGTTGTCACAAAGGATGACTATTCCATAGTAAAATCTCGAAGCTTTCAATGTTTTTGCTAAGTCACATGGTAGAGTGTAAGTCTCTCACATCCCAAGTGGGTGACGACTCATCAACAATCAAGGTCTATGAAATAATCAAGAAGTCCTAGAATGTCTACAATATGCTTCTAAAGTCAGACGTGATGATAAGGGTAAAGGATTAATCATCATACCCCAAATAGGTGGCAGCCTATCTACAATCATGGAATACAAGACAACATTGACAAAGCATCAAAGGAGTGACAGGGATCTAAGAGGGCAGGAAAGGAACGATAGAGTGATCTTAATTGGGTAAAGATAACGAGATCAGGTCACTATAGAATATCATCTCTAAAAATTAATGCATTTTATAGACTGAGGAATGTATTTCATTGTGAATATGTTGCATTCGTGATGACTGATTTAGGAAGGGGAGAATGGAAAATTAAGAATAAAAAAAAAATTAATTTCTTCGCTTCCATGATGACTTTTCAGTCAAAGTTTATGACTGATTTATCACTGGATAAATAATTATCTTTTCGACTGATGGAAGAGGAGAATGAAAAATTAAAAATAAAAAAAAAATCAATTTCTTCGCTTCCATGATGACTTTTCAGTCAAAGGTATGACATTACTTTTATCTCTGCTAAATTATTGCCAACAAATCATCTGAGCGAAGTAACAAAGGATAGAGCTTTGCTAAACTACTGCATTCAAAAAATGAAGGGAATAGATGTTGGTGCTCTTATAGTTCATTATGCTCGAAGTATAGCTAGTAGTGTTACGGCTATGGTTTGGGATACTCTGCCCTGATCTTCACTTTATGTGAATAACCAGGAGTAGAGTCCCATAAAAATGAAGAAAAGCTGCACCCAAAGAATCTTATAGTGAAGCATACGGTTCAAATATTTGAATCATTTGTTGATTCCAGGAGTGGAGTTAGTGATAGACCCTCAACATCAGCTACAGGGTCATCTACTTCTCACTCTACTTCACTTGAGAATATTATGGGGCAGCTTATGATTCAACAAATGAATATTGTGAATATGCAAAATATGATTGGAGGAATTGAAGAAAGGAATGATTACAATGATGAATATAAGCAGAGGAGAGTTCAACATGATATAGCTTATGAGGAGGCTATGGTCAGATTTCTTAGAGGTGATTACAATGTGGGATTTCCAGCTTGCCCCAACTTCACTCCTTTACTCCAAATCATGATGATGATGATGAAGATGATGATGATGAGGAGGAGGAGGAAGAGGATGATGACTGATATTTTAAGTTAAATTGTATGAACCTTATGTGTTGTAGTTGTTTGGACAGCTACTCTGCTATATGTTGTAGTTGTTTGGTCTGCTGCTATTTTTTATGTTATTGTGAGTAGTTATGTTTTGTGTACTTTTTTAGTATTTTCATTTTTTGTTTATGTTTTTAATTCTTAGCAAATCCGTTAAAATATAATATATTTCATTTAATGATTTAAAGTCTGTATTTTTAAAGTTAGTACTGTAGTATACATAGCCCAGTTTCATACTAAAAAATCATCTACAGGTTAGTTTTTATTTTTTTATGCATTTACTGTTTTCTTTCACCTACAAAATTTTGTACTAAACATTTTTATTTACTTAAAAATTTAAGTTTGGGGGAAAGAAAAATTCCTTTTAACATGAAGTAAATTAAAATTTATTCTTCCTCAATTAACTATATTTTTTAAAATTAATTTAACATGACCTAAGAAATTAAGATTTAACTTTAAATGAATATACTTATGTTTATAAATATTATGGTAAATTTAGGTAAATATTTTTAATAATGAAGGTCAATTATAAGTTAAAGATATTTTGTTTGAAAGAATGAGACTGTGTTTTTTTTTATTTAAAGTAAAAAAGATTGTATTTTTGAAGTATTAAGAATTTTAGAGTTTCATGTAAAAAGAAAAGAATGAGACTTTATGAAAAATCATAAAACTAATATGAATTTATAAAGTGAAGAAAGGTAAAGAGTTTTAACTTTAAGAAGAGGATAGTGAAGTTCAAAACTATTAAAGACTATCCATATATAGTAATCATCACTTGAAAAAGTAAAAGAAAAGAAAGAATTGAAAAGATCATAAAAGAAAAAATGAACAA